TGCATGATGGTTCAAGCAATCGAGTTTATGATTAACAAAGACGCCACCATACTATTATTATTTAATAATCATGTCCTTGCAATATGTCGAGTTTTACACGTGCATAGTATGATGACATTACAGGATGCGGGTTACATTGACCCGCAATTTACATGGTCGAGTATACATACGGGGGCAATGAAACGTGACCAGGGCAATGCAGGTGTGAGATCTCATGAATGAGCTCGCACTTCACGATGCATGTTTGGGGGCGGTTTGTATAATGGAAAGACTTGATCGTGCATTAGTCTCCCCTTTATGGGCGGAGAGGTTTCCGTAGACTTTTGTGAAGCATTGTACCGACTTAGATTCGAATCATCATGCCCTACTAGTGATTGATAAACCCTTCACGAGAACATCAAAACATTTGTTTCGCTTTGATTCGAGATGTGCATCCAATATGGAGGCTCGATTGATGGTCCAGAATGTTTGGAGCAAAACTTATACGAGATCTCCAATGTTTAGACTTTGGCAGTGCTTGAAGATGGTAAGACATTTGTTATATGATTGGAGTTGAGTGGGAACTTGTATATCTACCTAGAATATCTGGACTGGAATCAAAAGGCGTGTTTAGTAAGATTCCGACGTAGGAGTAGGAACGACAACAAATTGAGTTGGGGACGGATACTATATCTTCATTACCATACTCAAAATAGTTTGAGTTTTTCACATACTCATACCCACCCATTACTCACAACATTAGAATTCCAGTTTTACTCATACCTATGTAAAATCTTTTGGATTCAAGTTTTAACCTATTTGATTAGGTCGAATGACGGATATCCAGGGTTATGTTTATTTTTGCCATCCTGAGGAGTCAGTTAGCTAAATATCAAAGTTTAGGAGTTTGTTTGGTAGTGGGTGAAAAGTATCACTGGTCACTGTACTTGCTCTATTAATTCAAGTTTACCACTGAATTCATTTTTAATTTAACTAAACCACTAAACTTTATATAAAAACTCACCATCCATCACTTTTTTTTCCAACCTCACGGATGTCATGTTAACGTTGCTGACATGGCACCTCCAAGCTGGAGGACAACTCATTAATCTGCCATGTCACTCCCAAGTCTGGCCTCGAACCTGAGACCATTGTGTGACAACTAGCCAGCCGAAAGGAGGCTGCCAATTTAACCAATTGAGCTACAACATCTTTGACAACATTTGTTTAAATTTAAAATTTTATTATGGTTTTACCTGGTATAAAAAGATTTTTCCCACCGTATTTTGCTTTTCTAATTTGATAGGGACTTGTTTAATGGAGCACAATTCTTATTTTCTTTAATCAATCAGAGGGGAAAAAAATAAATAAAAGGAACCATATAATATTATGCAGTCACTTGTTCATGAAATTATAAGTCAAATCTGCCGCTTCAATTTTCCAATATGAAATCACACACATCAAGTCTAAAAATTTTTGCAGTAGAACTTGGGGTACTAAAACGTGGAGAATCTGGGGCATCACTTGAAATAGAAGTCGTGACTTCAACTCAAAATTCAATCGAGACCATATCCAAGCGTTGAAATCTGTCCAAAAAGCCTCCTAGCTCTGAAATAAAATGTCACTCTCCTATCACAAAAAACAAACAAACATCATTTAAAGAACATTCTCTAAACATACATCATCTAGACAAAAGGCATTGGGATTGTGATGCACACCTGTGATGCTTGAAAGCAAGATTGGGTCATATCTTGTTGTACTCTGATTATTTTACGTTGAATCTACAATAATATATGAAACATTAACATTCAAATTTTTAGTACAAAATAATGATGTATTTTCAAATATGGAACAATTTTTTTAACTTACTGGTAATTTGTTCATTCTTCCAGAAGTAGTAGCCTGTGTAGTGGAGTTTCCTTGCTCACCTTCTTGTTGTGGTAATGGATTATTTTTGTGGAAGTCTTTCCGATGCCCATGCTCACGACATACAGAGAATTTTAGCTTCACTCCCTTCATGCTCAGTCTGTGCTTTCCATTCTTACTTGTGTTTTCCAACTCAGCAATCTCCTTCCTCCTTTGTTTAGGCTTTCTTCCCTTCTTCATCTTTCTTTCCTTAGTTATAGGAGGTGGCTGAATGGGATCCCTACCACTATCTTCCCACATATCACTGCTATTGGTAGGATGGACAAAATGGTTATAAACTTCTTTATAGGTATCAACAGTATACCAACTACCCACATAATCTTCTGGATGTTTGTCCGCCTCCCAAATTGCACATATAGCATGCTTACAAGGAATATCAGAAAGCTGCCATTTTCTGCATGCAGAAGTCTTTTCAGCAAGGTTCACCACTACTTGTCCATCAAAGGACCTAACTTGGTACTGATTCTCTCCATCATAAGTAGCTGTACAACCTTTTGCTGCTTCATCTTTCAGCTTTTCCAATTTTGTTTGTATTTTGGGACAAATTCGACCAGTCATTTTACCACCAACTTTGTTTTTCACATGCATACGTCTCATTAGTATGCATCTAATGGCCTCAAACATGGAGATAATGGGTTGACACCTTGCATCTAGTAGGCAACGATTGAAAGACTCACATAGATTGTTGAGAAGCATGTCACACCCACATAGAACTTGAAAATGGCTTTTTGACCACTCTCTAAAAGGTCTCTCATGCAACCAATTCTTTGCCTTCTCACTTTGCCTCCCAATCTCTTGCATCCACCTCTTGAATTCACTTGTAGTAGTAGCTCGTGCTGCCTTCCAGATCAAGTCTTTCAGTAACAAGTCACTGGAAACATCTTTCCGAAAGTTTGTGTACATGTGGCGTACACAAAATCGATGCTCCACGTCGAATAACTCATCATTTAAGGCTGCAATTAGCCCCTACAAGTGATTGTAAATTAAAATATTAGAAAGAACATAAGACATCAAACCAGAAGGATAACATCTAAGTTATTAATAATAATTAATCTTAATTACCATTTGACGATCAGACATAAAGCACCATCTGGGACTATTTTCTACTTCAAGATCTTCAACCAAGTTTCTAATAAACCATTGCCAATTATCTCTGTTTTCTTTCTTCACCAAGGCAAATGCAATGGGAAAAATGCAATCATTAGGATCAACACCAATAGCTGTTAGTAATTGTCCCCCAATATCGGTTTTGATAAAACAACCATCGATGGATATGAACCTTCTACATCCTGCCTTGAATCCGTCTTTGCATCCTTGCAAGCACATGTACATCCTCTCAAAAATACCTCCAATCTGCTCAATGATCACTGTGGATCCTGGGTTTGTCCTTCGAATCTCACCTGCATAATCATATAATTTTTCGTATTGATCTTTCTCTTGCCCACCTAATAGTACCCAAGCCTCACGTCTACACCTTTGAGCTTTAGGCATGCTCATGGTTAGCATCAAATCTTCCTTGGCAGTTTGGATTAGAAGGGGACAAGACCATGCAGGATCAACTCTAAACCTCTCTAGGTACTTTTGTGCTATCCACTTGGCTGTGAGGAATCTGATATTGTACACTTTTTTGCAATGCTCACTATGATTTATACGACATGTCTTGATTTGAGGTGTCTTCTCACTAGACATGTAGGAGACCCATATTTCCCATGGACAACCATCTTGGCAAACAGCATGGACCCTCAACTTGTCATTATGCTTAAACCGAATGTTCCTTTTATGTCTTATTGCATAATGCTTTGCTGCCTCCTTGAATTCATCAAAGGATTTAAACTTGAGACATTCAAAAAATACTGGATCATTCATATTCGCTTATGCATTGAACTCAGGATCCATCTTTCATCTCACTTCCATCCTCAACCACATGAGTAAGCTCCCCGTCACCATCATAAGCAATATCATCATCAAAAGCAACAGGTGATTGCGGATTTGATGCACCTTCCAATTGAAAATCAAATCCATTTCCAGCTTCCACTTCTTCATCGACATAATTATCATATATCAAATCATCTTCCTTATCCATCAAATCATAATCACTGTCCTCAAAATCAGAACTCACATCACTGCTTTTAGATAATGCAGCTTCTGCAAAATTATTTGCCAAATCTCTGAATGTATGCTTCTTTGAGTTTCTTGTCATATTCCCACTTTCAGTATTATTGTCGTTGACACCTGCATAAAACAATAATTAGCTTGTTTGTTACTAGAAACAAAAGTATACAAGAAGACAAAAGAAAATATATAAAAAAGATTAAAAGTGATCTGTGCCAAACCCCACCCGCCTACGTGCCGCCTACGTGCCTCATGTTTCAATCCCATACCCACCCATCTCTCTTTAGCTTTTCCTTCTCTTGTTACTAGAGACAAAAATGTGAAAAAGACAAAAAGGCAAGGCATAGAGAAGATTAAAAGTGGTCCATATGCATTTTGCAAATCCCATTCTCTACTGCTGCCTGCTACTGCTACGTGTCTCCCTAAAGACAGCAAAGACTAAGAGCATACCCCTTCCTTCAATTTCAATCTCACATATGCATAAATCCATATAAGCCTGCCCAGTACCCACAGTTACGGATTGCGCCGCACCTGCCTCGCCCACACTCCTCTTAGGCTCTTACTGACGGTACCAAAACCCTAAGAATATAAAACAGAATATATAACTCCATCTATTACCATAATCAAGCTTACCTCTTATGCTTCTTTTAGTTGGTTTGTCCGGCGGCATTGCAGTGCAGAGGTCAAGGATGATCAATGGTTATTTCGTCCGACTTGGAAGCTTTTGGGGAAGATGAACAGCCGAGAGGTTTGGAGGTTAATTGACGGGGGAAAATTAAGGGTTAGGGATTTTTTCTTTCTTTGGGTAGAGTTTTATTAAGCAATGAAATTGCTTACGTGGAAAAATAGAGATTAGGTGTCGCCACGTCATCCCCGTTAGCGCTTTGTCAGCGCCGTTAAGATGACATCCGTGAGATTTGAACGAAAGTGATGGATGGCAATCTTTTATATTAAGTTCAGTGGTTTAGTTAAATTAAAAACGAGTTTAGTGGTAAGCATAAATTAATAGAGCAAGTTTAGTGACCAACAATAATTTTCACCCGTTTCGTAGTTGAAACAAAATAAAGGGACCTGATGGATATATAACTTCAATACAAACCACCTAAAATATATACGTCACTACGTCTTGTCTTTTGATCAGTGTTCTACTCCACTTTCATCTCTCGTTTACACCGCCGTTTTCTCCCCTCCTTCCCCTTGCTTTGCCATCGCCGAATCCGTCTCCCATGGCTCCTTCCTTCGTAATCAACGGCGGTGACCTCACCGCCGCCAGCACCAAGTCCTCCACTGGCGGCCGCGCATCCTCCGTTTACAGCGAGGTCCAGACCAGCCGAATTGACTACGCACTCCCTCTCCCCTCTGTCCTTACTAGTCCATTCAAGATCGTTGATGGCCCCGCTAGTTCCGCCGCCGGAAACCCTGGTTCGTCTACTTCTCTTCCATACTCTCTCCTCTCCTTACCTAGAGGTCAATTGCGTTTGACTATGTGAGTCTGAAGTTTCTGGATCTTTCTGCTGCAGATGGGATCGCCAATCTGTTCCCAAATCTGTTTGGCCAGCCTTCTACAATACTGGTGCCAACCGACGGCGAGCATGCTCTCGATTCCGGTCGCAAACTGAAAATCGGCGTGGTCTTGTCTGGTGGCCAGGCGCCTGGAGGGCACAATGTCATATCCGGGATCTTTGGTATGAGGATCCATTCAAATTCGCACGATCTGTCTTCAGTTCTGAGATTCCGACGACTCTGACTGTTAGTCTGTTGATCTTTCTTGTGGCGGTAGTGTTATAAACGCGCTGCTACGGATCGGGAAATCGCCGGAATCGACAAAGCAAGAATACGAGAGCGAGAATCGAAAGACAAAGACACACGATTTACGTGGTTCACTAACACGATGTGTGTTAGCTAGTCCACGGGCGAGAGAGAGAGCCAGTTTCACTATATCTGAGGAGATTACAGATTACAGAGGAGTATGAGAAGTATTTATAGTACTTCTCCATGTGGGTCTAAACCTAATCCAATCTAGCAAAGGAAACGGTTACAGACCAGGCCCAGAACCCGAACCCAAATAACGTTGCCCCCGCACCCCCACCGGGGCGTTGCCCCTGGACCCCACTCGCTGACCGGGCAGCGAGACCCCCGATTACCAGTCGTAGCGGCTGATAATCCGATTCAAGTCATATCAACAAATCTCCACCTTGACTTGAATCCTCTTCCTCTAAAATCTCTGATGTACTCTGCTCCTTCTCTCTCTCTCCCGCCATCAATGCCCCGTAGGGCGGAGTCACCCACTCAAGACATTCAGCAAGTCCAAGCAGTGTTGGAACTTGCCATGTGGAACCGGCTTCGTGAACATATCAGCAGGATTATCCGCGGTGCCAACCTTCTTTACCTTAATCCTCTTCTCTGTCCTCAAGAAATGATACCTCACATCGATGTGCTTAGTCCTCTCATGGTGGACTTGATCCTTGGCCAAGCATATTGCACTCAAACTGTCGCAATACACCACTGCCTGATCATGATGTAGACCCAGATCACCAACCAGTCCCTTCAACCATATTCCCTCCTTAGCAGCTTCTGTCAACGCCATATACTCTGCCTCAGTAGTAGACAATGTCACCGCCGACTGCAAAGTTGCCTTCCAGCTCACTACAGAACTCCCAAGAGTGAATACATAACCGGTCATCGATCTCCTCGTGTCAACATCTCCAGCATAGTCCGAGTCAGAATACCCAGACACCAAGCACTCTGTATCACTTCCGAAGCTAATCCCCACATCAGGTGTACCCTTAAGGTACCGGAAGATCCTCTTCACAGCCTGCCAATGCTCCTTCCCAGGTTGTATCATAAACCTGCTGACAACACTAACAGCATGTGCAAGATCAGGTCTAGTGCATACCATAGCGTACATCAAGCTACCTACTGCACTAGCATATGGGACTCTCGACATGTACTCCTTCTCAGCCTCTGACTGCGGTGCATAAGCTGAGGATAGATGAACATTTGAAGCACTAGGAGTATTTAAGGGCTTTGCTGAAGACATGCCAAACCTCGACAGTATCTTCTGGATGTAGCTCTTCTGTGACAAGAAAAGCTTCTTCTTCGACCTGTCCCTGTAAATCTCCATACCCAAGATCTTCTGAGCAGCTCCCAAATCCTTCATCTCAAACTCAGCACTGAGAAGCCCCTTTAACTTCTGGATATCAGACTTCAACCTCGCAGCTATGAGCATATCATCCACATACAGAACTAGATATATCATCGAACCATCCTCTGCCTTGTTGTGATACACACAACAATCATATGGACTTCTGCTGTAGCCTAGCTCAAGCATGTAACTGTCAAATCTCTTGTACCACTGCCTCGGAGATTGCTTAAGTCCATACAAGGACTTCTTCAGCTTACAAACATAGTCTTCTTTTCCCGGAACCTCGAATCCTTCTGGCTGAGTCATGTAAATTTCTTCCTCCAACTCTCCATGTAGGAAAGCTGTCTTCACGTCTAGCTGCTCAAGCTCCAAGTCATAATGTGCCACTATTGCTAGTAGCACTCTGATCGAAGTATGTCTGACCACTGGTGAGAAAATCTCATTGTAATCAACTCCTTCCCTTTGCGAGAAGCCTCGTGCAACCACCCGAGCTTTAAATTTCATGCCCTCTTTGGAAGTGATTCCTTCCTTTTTCTTGTAGATCCACTTGTTTGTAACAATCTTCCTTCCCTGTGGTCGTTTGACTAGCTCCCAAGTCTGATTCCTGTCATGGGATTCCATCTCATCTCCCATTGCGGCAAGCCACTGATCGGCTTCACCACCCGAAACTGCTTCTCTATAGGACTGTGGCTCTCCTGCATCCACTTCTTCAGCAACCTGAAATGAATACGCCACCATGTCCTCGAAGCCATACCTCTGTGGAGGTACTCCTGCAGTCGCTCTCTTCGGTCTACCGGAAGCAATAGACTGTTGAGCTCGTGCTCTGGACTCTGAAATTTCTGGCTCTGCAGAGACATCCTCATCATGTTGATCTTCTCCACCTTGGTGCTCAAACTCACTCTCATTGAGAGTTTGCAGCTCCACCTGTTTATCAACATTCCTGCTACCTTCAACAACAGTAACCTTCAACATGGGGTTAAACATAGACTTCTCATCAAATATCACATTTCTACTAAGTATAACTCGATGCTCAGAAGGTGACCAGACTCGAAATCCCTTAACTCCATCTCCGTAACCCACAAATACACCCTTCTTTGCCCTTGGGTTCAGTTTACCCTCATCCACATGATAATAAACAGGACACCCAAACACTTTCAGTGAAGAGTAATCAGCAGGCTTACCATACCACACTTCATAAGGAGTCTTACACTCGATACCTGTGTGAGGTCCACGGTTGATCAGGAAGCACGCCATGTTTACTGCTTCTGCCCAGAATCTTCTCTCTAGTCCAGCATTAGAGAGCATGCACCATGCTCTCTCCAACAATGTCTGGTTCATCCGTTCTGCAACGCCATTCTGCTGAGGTGTATCTCTAACAGTCCGATGACGGGCAATCCCTTCATCCTTGCAGAATTCGTTGAACTCAGAACTGCAGAACTCCAGACCATTGTCCGTTCGCAGCTTCTTGATCTTCTTCCCGGTCTGATTCTCCACCAATGTCTTCCACTGCTTGAACTTCGTGAAAGCCTCACTTTTCTGCTTCATCATGAAAATCCAAGTAAATCTCGAATAATCATCAATAATAGACAGAAAATACCTGCTGCCTCCAATGGATTCAACTCGTGAAGGACCCCAACAGTCGGAGTGGAGGTAATCCAGTATCCCCTTCGTCCGGTGGATACCCTTCTTGGGAAACTTGCTGCGATGTAGCTTCCCAAACACACAATGCTCACAGAATTCCAAATTCTGCACCTTGTGCCCGCAAAGAAGATCCCTCTTTGATAGAACTTGCATCCCCCGTTCACTCATATGCCCCAGTCTCATGTGCCAGAGAGTGGTCATATCTTCCTGTTGAACCTGAGACGATGCAACTGCAGCAGAACCAGACAACACAGACCCTTGTAATGCATACAAGGTCCCACGCTTCACGCCCTTCAGCACCTTCCTTGAACCTTTGCAGACATACACAACTCCACCTTTTCCTTTGAAGCTGAAGCCCTTGCTGTCGAGTAGACTCAAGGAGATCAGGTTCTTTGTCATTCGTGGAACATGCCTGACATCATTCACGGTACAGAACGAACCATCATGTGTCCGAACCTTTATGGACCCGATTCCAACAACCTTGCAGACAGCTCCATTAGCCATGACCACGTTACCACCATCTATCTGCTCGTAGGTTGTGAAGCAATCCCTGTTCGGAGACATATGGTATGAGGCTGCAGTATCCAGAAACCACACATCACCACGATGTGCCTTATCATCTACAGCCAAGGCGAGATCGTCTTCAGAACTGTTGTCCACTTCTGCCACGGCAACTGAACCTTGTTTCTTCTGTTGCCCTCTTCTCTTGGGACAGTTGTACTTCCAATGCCCCACTTCCTTACAGTTGTGACACGCATCACCTGGCTGTGGACCGGGACCCTTGGAATTCTTGCTCGAATTCCCTTTACCAGATTTCTTCTTTCCCTTTCCACCTGTAACAGCCAAACCCGATGCCTCACCACCTGTACCAGATCCGGACGCCTTATGCCTGATCTCTCTCGTATGAAGAGCAGACCTGACATCCTCCAACGACACGCTTTCTTTACCAGCAATAAAAGAATCAACGAAATTCTCATATGAACTCGGCAAAGAAACCAGCAGGATTAGGGCAGCATCCTCGTCATCAACTTGAACATCTATATTACGCAGATCCAGCAAAATAGAGTTAAGCTGTTCGAGATGTTCCCTCAAAGGCGTACCTTCTTGCATCCTCAAGCTGAACAACCGTTGCTTGAGATGCAGCTTGTTGGTTAGAGACTTAGTCATGTACAGACTCTCTAGTTTCAACCACAAGCCCGCGGCAGTCTTCTCAGCAGCGACTTCAATGATGACGTCATCAGACAACGATAGCATGATGGTCGAGTGGGCCTTCTCCTCCAGGGTATTCCACTCATCGTCATCGACCGCTGCCTTCTTCTGTTTCGCAGACAGCGGCCCCCACAGCCCTTGCTGTTTTAGTAAAGCCTGCATCTTGATCTGCCATATAGCGAAGCTGTTCTTCCCCGTGAACTTTTCGATCTTCATGTTCACCGACGTCATTCTTCTGAATCGAAAACCCTAGCCTGATTTCCAGCCGCGGCTCTGATACCACTTGTTATAAACGCGCTGCTACGGATCGGGAAATCGCCGGAATCGACAAAGCAAGAATACGAGAGCGAGAATCGAAAGACAAAGACACACGATTTACGTGGTTCACTAACACGATGTGTGTTAGCTAGTCCACGGGCGAGAGAGAGAGCCAGTTTCACTATATCTGAGGAGATTACAGATTGCAGAGGAGTATGAGAAGTATTTATAGTACTTCTCCATGTGGGTCTAAACCTAATCCAATCTAGCAAAGGAAACGGTTACAGACCAGGCCCAGAACCCGTACCCAAATAACGTTGCCCCCGCACCCCCACTGGGGCGTTGCCCCTGGACCCCACTCGCTGACCGGGCAGCGAGACCCCCGATTACCAGTCGTAGCGGCTGATAATCCGATTCAAGTCATATCAACAGGTAGATTACTTGCAGGCTCATGCCAAGGGGAGTACGGTTTATGGATTTCGCGGGGGTCCTGCCGATATCATGAAGTGCAAATATGTAGAACTAACTCCTGATTACATTCGCCCTTACAGAAACCAGGTACCGGCATCATAGATTAATAGATACAGTAATCATGAAGTTTACTGACTTGGGAATTTGTAGGCATTGTCTTTTTTATTCAAGCTTTGTCTCTATCTTAACTCCTTGACGCCTTCTCTGTTCATCAGGGTGGTTTTGATATGATCTGCAGTGGTAGGGACAAGATCGAGACACCTGAGCAGGTGGGTGATACTCTTTCTTCATTTAATCATGGCTGTATGTCAGTGGAAAGCTGCAGCGCGGCTGATTTTGAGAATGATTAAATTGTGTAGTTTAAGCAAGCTGAAGAAACTGCAGTGAAGCTCGATTTGGATGGGCTTGTTGTTATTGGTGGTGATGATTCCAACACCAATGGTTGCCTGCTTGCTGAAAACTTCAGGTATACACCAAAATTTGATTTTTGGTTGTTGCTGTCATATTGCTTGCGGCTTCTGCTGAATGGCACTCAGGGTTTTGTTGTCATGACAATCTTTTTTACTTTCCTGCTTCATTTGATCAATCAGGAGCAAGAATTTGAAGGCACGGGTAATTGGCTGCCCGAAGACAATTGATGGTGATCTGAAATGCAAAGAGGTCCCTACAAGTTTTGGATTTGACACCGACTGCAAGGTGATTAGGAGTCATGTTCTTTTTTGTTTGTTTCTCATGTTCAAAGTGATTTTCGCGATGAAAGAAATAGCGTGGAGGAGTGTCTGATTTCCCATTACAAGCCTGGGTCTGAATCTGAATGCATTTCAAATATATTTTGCTACTTGTTCGCTGTATCCTAATTAGTTAGAGTATCTGTCTGTGTGATGAGGAATGCAGATATATGCTGAAATGATTGGCAATGTCATGATTGATGCCCGATCAACTGGGAAATATTATCACTGTAAGTCAGTTGTCTCGATCCTTTTTGTTATTTGTGACAATTTTACTAGTTTGAGTTAGGTTATAAATAAAAATTGAAGAAATGCTTCCGTAAGAATCTGCTAATTTGTAGTGGTGCAGTCCTCTTAAGAGTATAGTTGCTTCCAGGATGGATACTTCCATTTTCTCTGCCCCATAAGAAAGAGATTTGCTAAAGGCTCTTCAAAATTTTGCTATTTCAAAGACTTATTTGTTAGGCATTGACTTGTTAGTTGTCATATGCTGACTTCCTTGGGCCTATGTCTTACTCATTACGGATTCGTATGAATGATATACTTACAAAAGTGTCATTGAGTAAAAAGTTGGGCCCCCCGTTTTGCTCTCTAGAATAGTTACACTTTTCATCAACAAACATCGTTTATAGGCAGTATTGGACCCACAGTTCGAATCTAATTTCAGTAGAACAATTGATTAAGTTGAGCCTTACATCTTAGTTTGTTGCTTCTGAGAGTTCATGGCCTCATGGGAGTTCCTCTGTTGTACCTTATGTTGGTCATTTTTGGATTCGAATTTGTGTTTGCAGAGTTATGCATTCTTATCATATTTCTTGCTATGTCTTGCCCTTCAACAATGTCTGCCACCCCCCCAATCCATTCATTGGCATGATACCATCTCTTGTTGTCTTTATAAGACTTGATTTTACTGCTTTGTTCCAGTTGTACGGCTTATGGGTCGTGCTGCCTCCCACATTACCTTGGAATGTGCTTTGCAAACTCACCCCAACATTACAATCATTGGGGAAGAGGTATTTCCTTTTTACCATCATTTCAGTTTGCTAGTTAATTATTATCTCCTAAACACAATTTTGCCGGTCTAATTATTTTTTCTATGAAGCAAATAACTCAGGAAAAGTGCTGATGTTTCAAGTTGTACTATCTTGCAGGTTGCTGCAAAAAAATTGACACTTAAAAATGTTACCGATTACATGGTTGATGTGATCTCCAAACGCGCCAAACTTGGTTATAACTACGGTGTTATCCTTATTCCGGAGGGCTTGATTGATTTCATCCATGAGGTATCCTTATTGCTGTTTTCCTTATGTTCATCATCCATTCCTGCTTAATGTAATGATTGAGGACCCTACTAAATTTGCATTCGGTGGCATGTTGTGATGTGCAGGTCCAGCAGCTCATTGCAGAACTGAATGAAATTCTGGCCCATGAAGTTGTGGACGAAGCTGGGCTCTGGAAGAAGAAGCTTGCGGAGCAGTCTCTTCAGCTTTTTGACTTTTTACCTCAAGCAATTCAGGAGCAATTGATGCTTGAGAGAGATCCACATGGGAATGTTCAGGTGTCTACTACATATTAATCTCAATAGACGATTCACTTTTTAATAATATCTTCTGGGTTGCTGTATATGTCATGCTTTTCCCCTCGTGCTTGTAGGTTGCTAAAATAGAGACAGAGAAAATGCTCATTCAGATGGTTGAAACTGAGTTGGAAAAAAGAAAGCTAGAAGGTTCATACAAAGGCCAATTCAAAGGACAGTCCCACTTCTTTGGGTAACATAATGGATTAACTTTTCACTATTTCCATACTGTAGACCTATTACTGAAGACTCTGTTGGAAACATTTTGTCTAGGACTGACCAGCTTTGCCAACCGAAACACTAGATTTTACTTGGGTTGTTTTCAGTTGTAAAAAATCAGTTGATAGCTAGCTTGAGATAGTTGACATTTGTTACCTGATAATATATTGGATGCTTTCCCAAATTTGGTTCTTCTAGCAACTGCTTAATAACTTATTTCGTTTCAGGTATGAAGGAAGATGTGGTTTGCCAACTAATTTTGATTCTATGTACTGTTATGCATTGGGCTATGCTGCTGCTGTTCTTCTCCACAGTGGGAAGACTGGGTTGATTTCATCAGTAAGTCCATCCAACTCCTTGTTGCTAACATTATTGTCACTGGTCCACTTCCTAATCTCTCTTCATTTTGCTTCTTCTTCCCTGTCAAGCTTTTCTTCTAAGTCATTTTAGTGTCTCTCTTGATCTGAGGGGAGCAACATCAGTACTATTATAATTCTTCAAAGAGAAAGTACTAATACTCCTACCACGATAATTGATGTTGGTTGTATCCCAGGTTGGAAATCTAGGTGCCCCTGTTTCAGAATGGACGGTTGGTGGGACTGCATTGACTTCCTTGATGGATGTGGAGAGAAGACATGGTAACTAGGATTCAGAGAAAATTGTTCGGCTTGTTAATCACGAGTTTGTTGCATCTTGGGTTTCCTTGATGAATGTTCTTCTCCTATTTAGTTTTATGAGCTGCTGCTTCAGCACTGATATCCTTCCTTTTTCCTGTTATTTGTTCTAATTAGGTAAAAACAAGCCCGTTATCAAGAAGGCGATGGTAGAGCTCGATGGTAATTATTGTGTCTTGATACCCTTCATATTCTTGATTTTGCGAAGCACGCACAATGGTTGTTACCGTTTCAGCTGCAGTCTAATCGGCATAAATATTTCAGGTGCACCTTTCAAAAAGTTTGCTTCAATGCGGGACGAGTGGGCACTGAAGAACAGATACATCAGTCCTGGTATGTGTAGTCACTGAGCCGTTGACTAATTCCAGTTCGAAACGCCATCCATGTCTGCGCTCGTATATTGGGTGCATGCGTGTGTTGATCCTAGTTTTCGACATTTTTGCAGGTCCAATTCAGTTTATGGGACCTGGGGCAGATGATGTCAATCACACGGGAGCGGATCCCCTCAGTAACCAATACCTCAGTAACCATCAGTAACCCCTTCCCCTGGTCCCCACGTGTCAACTTTTTCTTTTTATTTAAAAAAAATACGGAGGGGCACTAAGGTAAAATTGCACCCCTATTTAATGATGTCTCTGACGCGCTGACGCGCTGACGCTGACCAGATCACATCAGCGCCTTCTCTCTCCTCAAACAACCTTTAATTTTCCTTCTCTTAATCTTTAACGGACGATTTCTCACTCGTTTTAAGTCGGAATTTAATTTTTTTTGCACAGTTAGATCAGATTAATTGTGATCTTCAAAATGATATCCACTTTGATATTTTTCAGACATAAAAAAATTTGTCAGTTATTACCAGTCATTACCATATGGTAATGACTGGTATTGACCATACCATATGGTATGAAAAAATTTGGCACATCAATATATATTACGTTACCACCCAATACCATATGGTATAGTGTGGTAATATCAATATATATTTCGTTACCACCCAATACCATATGGTATAGTATGGTAATATCAACATATGGTAAATCTAACTACCATACAATGCCAACATAGTAGAGCATGGTTAATCGAATGAACACAAATTAATTGTAATTACCATACAATACCACATGGTATGAGAAGTTAAAACCATATAAAAATAATATAAATCTAATTACAACCCTTTTACGACCATAGTAAAACACGATATCCATAAAAATACATTTCGTTACCACATTTTACCATATGATATACATTTTACCATATGGTATAGACACATTACCATATGGTATATACACTTTACCATATGGTATAGACACTTTACCATATGGTATATACACATTACCATATGGTATAGACACATTACCATATGGTATATACAAATTACCATATGGTATAGTGTGGTATATACACATTACCATATGGTAATGTGTCAATACCATATGGTATCGACACATTACCATATGGTATAGTGTGATAATCTCAATATATATTCTCAAAGAAGGGGAAACAGAAGGAGGAAGAGGAAAAAAAAACTTGTCTTCTGTCTCCTGTCATTTACTCCTCCGCAATGAAGAACACTGAATGCAAAAAGAAAGAAAAAGAGGAAGAAGATCGGAATTAATTCACAAACAAATACTAAAACACAAAAGATGCAAACTCAACTCACCTAGATCTGTCCCCTCTTTGACAATATGGAGCATCATCGATTTTGAGGCCGATAAAAGAAAAAAACAGAAGGAAGGAGCAGCTTGAGAGTAGAAGGATTTGGAGCCTCACCGAATTTGAAGTGGGAGGCTGCAATTTATTCATCGATTGTTGGAGAAAAAAATGAAGAACAAGAGAAGAAATGAGATTTAGATCTGGAAAAAGAATTTTGGAAGAGAGAAAGGAAGAAAGAGAAAAGAGAGAGGAAGAGAAAAGTCTGCTTTTTCTCTTTCCTCCATTAAAAGACAACACATATAAATGCTGGAAAAAATAAAAAAAAGGAAAGAAATCAAATTTCAAAAATCGGACAAAAATGCCCCTCCTCACTCCACGTGCAGCCCAACAATATAATAATGACATCCCTAGATCTACGGTCCGGATTTAATACTGATAGGTCAGTAACCAATGGTTACTGACCCTATCTGCTGCCCAATCACACCCTACTGTTGGAACTTGGACTTGTTGCTGCTTAAAGCTCCGGAACAATATGATTGTTTCTTGGTCTTCGTTTATTCCATTTGCTTCGGTTTTTTCTAGTAAGCACGTGTTTATGTCGTTCGATTATGTTTGTTCAGCGCGATCCAACGATGTAACGTTAACCGACTTGTCTGTCCTGGGTGTGATTTGTTAGAGTAGATGAATAAGGGGTCGTTTGGGTGGGTTATTAGAATGAGTTATTTGAATTTAAATAACTCATTGTGAGTTATTTGGGCCGAAATAACATGTTTGGCAGCAAAAAAATGGGACAAGTTATTCTGGCCCGTGGTATTTACAATTAACGCGAAAACGCGTCATTTAAAATAACACCTGGAGAGGTGTTATTTACAAATAACGCGTTCCGCGTTATCCCTCTCCCCACTTTGCCCCTTTCTTTTTCTTCACCACTCTCTTCGTCTTCTTCCCTGCGCTCCTGACTCTCTCTTTCTTTTTCCAATTCTTCTATCTGAATTATAATCGCGACATCCTCTTCTTCTATTTTTTTTTTCTAGAGCAGACGGAGCTTCCTACGGAAAGCTCCGATTTTTTCATCCATTACGTTCTTTTTTTCCCCCTAACAAAATGGTTTTGATTTGAGCTTAGCAGTTCGGAGGTGAACAGAGACGGTGACGAGTTGAGCGAAGTAGTGCTATGGCCAGTTTCCTTATTGGCGTGGAAGCTCCGTCTGCTTCCTCTTCCCTCGTTTTCTCGCCGACATTGAACTGATTTCTTCATCTTTCCATCGGAGATCTGCGTTTTCCCCATCATCAACAGCAACGAAAATTTGGGTTTTTTTTTATTTCCCTCTTGCATGTACCAAAATCCTCTCATCTTTCCTTCTAGACCTCCCAATGTCGAAGGCGACGGTATCAGTGGGTTCTTTGGTGACGGTGGCTTGGAGTCTCGAATTGAACACTTCAATCGGGTTGTTGATGGATGTCAATTAGGGTTATCAAATAAGAAGAATCCATGCAATTGGGAATCAAGTTCTTGATCTGGGTTTGGGTAAACAGAGGACGTCGGTGGATCTGGAATTGACAAGTTCTTCATTTGGGTAAACAGAAGAGGCTGGCGAACTTGGAAAACAGTGGGTAATTGGAGTTGTAATATTTATGTTGGTTTCTTGGTAGTTTGGTGCTGGTAAGCAGAGGTAATTGGTGGTTTGGTGTTGTGGTTTGATACCATTTCTCAATCTCGTATATGATTTTGTAATTGTTGAGACGGTTGTGAGGGTAAGCAGAGGTGTTCAAACAAGAAAAAGAGGAGAAGATTGGTGTAGGCTGTTTGATTTTTTGCTTTAAAAAAAGTGAGGATAGAATGGTATATTACCCTTTTATTATAGAATAACCCATCGCAAATACCTCTTTCAGCCAAACAAGATATTCTATCACAATTATCATTTAAATACCACATAAAAACCTAATTGACAAATAATGAGTTATTTGTTATGAAATACCACACCTCAACAAACAATCCATCCAAACGACCCCTAATGATATTTCATCTCCACATGCTGCATGAGCTTTAAGTGTATTCACTCTAGAGATCTTTTGAAGGATCTGAATTCCTGAAATGGAACTAGTAGAGTATCCAGAGTTGTGATTTTGCCATTAGCAGTGGTCATAGTTCAATATCATCTTTCGTGCACAGTCGAGAAATATATCTTGAGAGAAATGAGTATATCACCAAAAGATCTCGATATATCGTGTATTTCGTCATACCATGGACATCATGAAGTTATCATTCTTGTCAATTTGTGTGTTGTGGTTCTTGTATGGATTTGAAAACGTTTGCGCTTGATCAGAAAAATGATCAAAATTGTTTGTTTACGTCTCTTAAAACCAAAATCGAAACGCAATAAATAGACAATATCTGACAGAAGATGAGCTAATCCAGCCGATTAGAAAGCTGAGAAGCTATTGTTTCAATTACATGGGGATTGCTATTCGTCGCCCTAAAATTCCTTATTCGTCGCCCTAAATAAATTAATTTTACCTTAATACCCATAGCAAATAACAAAGCAACCCAAATGAGAAAATTAAAGCTTTCTCCAGAATTTCTTTCAACATGTTATGAATACGGGAAAAAAACAGAATGCCATCCCTCATCAGAATACCAAAGCTTTCTTACTTAGACATTACTCAAGAAGATTATGAACAACACATGAAAGTGGAATTTATAAATAACAGAAAGGAGAAAAAAGAGAACAGAACATGCTGCTTCCCACTCCATCATTTCGTAACTATAGTTGCAGTCATCTCCACATAATGCCAGAACTCAGGGATTGATTTTGTGACATTTACAAGAGAGAGAGCAACATTTCATATCAAGTTAACGATGCCCTGTTTCAGGCGACGAATCATGAGGAGAAGGCGCAGAACTAGAGGTACTCCTCGTCGTCGTTGAGCAGGCTCCGGCCGAAGTTAAGCGAGTAGCTGAGCGGGTCGTACCGACACTGGAACGACGTCTGCCGTAGCGGCCGCGGTTGTTTTCGACATAGTGGTGGCGATGGTGCAATCGACGGCGGCGGTTCTGGGCCTCTGCCACAAATGGAGCCAAGTTTTTCAATGAAGAGGAAGTCTGCCAAGAAGATGCGGCGGCTGCGGCAGCAAAAAGAATGGGGTATGAGGGGTAAGATTGTCAATTTGATGCATTTTAGGGCGATAAAATTTAAATTTTAGGGCGACAAATAGCGATTCAGAATTACATTGGACATTTTACATTTCACTCACCAGGGTTTCATATACTTACAAACTAGACACCACCACGGCACCACCATCGCCCTGTAAAACTTCCTCTTTTAACCGCCCATATCGTACAATCTTAATAGTTCAGTGACCATTTAGACATTTAACCGCCCAACAATTTTGCTTTTGGCGGCACCGCGAAATTGATAGAGATTAGGCCATTAGGGTTTTACCCACTCAGAAGAAGAAACAGAGTGTGAAGCGAAGAGAAGAGGGACAGAAGAGAAAATCATGAATGGCGGAGGAGACGCCCAAAACGGGCCAGCAAAGCAGCTGACGGCGGAATCACTGCCCGTGTTCAACGAAGGCGTATACTTGATTCTATCCCGGTGGTCGGCTCTTCAGCTCGCAATCGAAGAAGAATGGGCCGGCCGCCGCTCCCGCCAGTTGGCCGATCAACTCGCTTCCGATATCGTCTCCTGGTTCACCCAACCCAAAGGTAATATTAGTAAATTACCCTAGCTACTGTCTAGAATCGCTCTAATTCGGGATGGGAAATTCGGTGCTGGTGAGATTTGCGGTTCTTGTAGTAATTTCTGATTATTTTTATCGGTTTTTCGCGTTGAGCCCAGCCGAGCCGCTTTACATTGATGATTTAGAGGACGTTCTCGACGAAGGGATGCTTTCTCTCAATTGCGAGATTGAGGATGGTAGCGTAGAGGAGGTAATTGAGATTTGGGTTTCTCGTATAGTGATTTCCCTTCTCTGTTGGCGGCTTAATCTTTGCTGAAAAGTTCTGTGTGTTTTTCGTCATTGTAGGTGGCAGAGAAGTTGATGATTTTGCATGAGGAATGTTTGGAAGCTGATTATAGCTCTGTTGAGAAGTTGAGAAGAGCAGGGCCTGCAGCAGGAACTCATCAACATATCAGACAGGTTTTACTCTTTTTAAGAACCGTACTGTGTGGGTTTTGCACTAGTTCTTGGTCGTGGCTTGTCTTGAATCTTGATGTTGCTTTGTTTATGATGTATTAGGCTGCTAATGATAATGACGATGACTCGTCGGAGGATGAAAGTGACGAAGAAGGTGATATGATGCCTGGAAGTAGGTCAAATATGGCAGTGGATTCGCCAGTTCCTCAGCCTAGGGTGAGCGTGGAGAATCGGCCTAATGATGGTCAGATGGATGATGATGGCTGGACGGTTGTTTCTTCCAATCGAAACAAAGGTAGAAGGAATTAAATTGAACATTATCGGGCAGCTCTCATCGAAGAGTCATGAAGTTAAGACGTGACAGTCATCTGTTCGAATTAAACCTGAAGAGGTAGAACTAGCTAGACTGGGAGTTGCTAAGCTATTGTCTAGTTTCTCTGTTGCGTTTGTCTTCCGGTTTTTGTGCTTTCTTTTTGGTTATATAGAGAACCATGATCTTGCAAATTTTGGTGGATAATTTAAAGTGCTGCATATGATGCTTGCACAAAACGAGTTCTATCTTTTTTGATGTTGTAACTGTTGAAACTCATAGGCAAATCGAGTATGCTACCATTCATTTGGCGGAGTTCCATTACTAGAATTACCCGGTTTCTCTTGAATGTTTGTCTTGAGACTTCTCTCTAGTCTGCTGGATTGGACATGCTTGAATTTTGCATAAAGTTACTTAATTTGGTTCTTTCGATTTTGCCTATAAACACCTCGTCCTACTCCAAGCCAGATTGCACCCTTCCCTTTTTAAATGGTTCAAACTTATCATGACAAAAGGGGAAATGGTCTAGTCCTCTTTGCTGCTTCTGCTTCTGCGTCATCTCCATTCTCCAGTTATTGCTGTTCTCTGCTATGCTTCTACCCCCAAAGCAGATTCAAACAATGGTATCCAATAATGGTAGAGGGCACAAGTTGGCAGCAGCTTCAGGGGGAAGGCCTTTGAGTTTGCCGTTGATGAGTTTCTGGTTGTTCAGTTGGGTGTTTCTGTACCTTCGGTCTGAATTGTGCAGATTCGGGAAGGAGAGAGGAGCACAGATGAATCAGCAAATATAATACACATTAGGTAATTGTCAATCCAGTTAGCATTTCTTTGTCACAAGTCTTTTAATAGGTCATCTTCTCACCATGATACGAAAATTACATTATCACATGATACCAAAAAAAGTAACATCTGCCAAATGATCACCCGCCTGAAATCCCAGCCTTTGAATTCAAAGTCATATGCTCTTCACAGTTCGCATCATCCCATCATTCCATTAGCTTTGCGTCTGTTTTTCTTTGCTTTCCTCGATAAGATGACTGAAATCATTCTGATCCCTCTTGCTAAATGAATTCTTGGCAAGGTGGGAGACTTGGCTTTGGAGCAGATTGAACTCCTTTGGGCTCTTTGGGCTCTCAGTGGTGAGATCAAGAAACTGCAGGACACCGTTTCTGAGTCTTGGTTCTTCCACCTCTGTTTTGGAGACGGCTGGAGACTCCTGCCGTAGAAAATCCTTCAGTTCCAGTCTCGTTGTTATTTGGGTTCTTGAGCTCAAGGATCCTGTCGATAAATGTTCCGGCGTCAGTTTGGCCGGCGCTTTCCCACCTTCCCGTCGAGACTCTCCAAGATGGAACTATTCAACAGTAGTTACAGCCGCGTACAGGATTCGCATGCTCATCAGTGGAATATAATAATCGGTAAATGGTCTTCTTCTTCCCAAGTCTTTGTAATGTAATGTGAAGGATCCAAAAGTCACATTGGTCTGAGCTGTCACATGATGTGGGGAAATAAAATTTTAAATTGGTCAGGTACGAGGAATCTTTCGATCTAAATCCCACCTGCAGCCATATTATATTGACATTTTCATACACCAGATATTCGTATCTGTTCCGACGACAAGACCTCTTCCCATGCTCCGCATTTGGGTTGGCTTCAGAGACCTTAAGCTTGCAAAAGCTCCAGTCTTTCTGCCCTTGGTCCCCTGTTTGCCCCTTGCCCTTGCTTTCTCTGAGAATTTCCTTGCTCCTTAACACTCTTGATTTGCTCTTGCTCACTCCATTTGCTCTCACTCTGATTTTTGCTTGCCTTTGTTGCTTCTCTGGTTTTCCCTTGTCCTGTCACTCCTGAATTGATTTGAGATTGTTGTTGCTCCCCTGTTTTGTTCCTCTTGCGGTCTCTGTTACTCTTGATTTTCACTCTTCTCTAGCTTCCTTAACTTTTCCCAGTTTTCACACTCTTGATTTACTCTCACTCTTTCGTTTCCCCGTTTCGTAGCCAAATCAATTATGGAAGTTTACACATGCACAACGATCTAGCACCTAGCTGTATGTTACTTATCATTAGCTTTGGTTTAATAGGAACTGGACGACCAACAGTGTTTATAGATTATTGTAGATTATTGTAGATTATTGTAACGTGTGTCCAGAAATTCGAAAAACATTATTCAATCAAAAATTATATTTTTTGTCCCAAAAGTTAATGATCCTTGAAAAGTTAATTTCATTTTCTAATAACATCGACTTTCATTTAAAGCAAAAGTGCTCTTCACTTCTAAATAACATATATTTTTAAGTAAACCGTCGCGAAGTGCTGACAATTATCTATTATATATTTAAAAAATAATAGTTATGAAATTTCCCAAGTTTTCTTTTACTTGGTCTTTTTTTTTAAAAGATTGTTGGAAGGAAATGTATGAAACCAAATGGCTTTTGTTTAATCTACCTTGGTACCTTTGTCATCCACTCACAAGTCACACCAGCTTGCTTTTCGTAGTTAATTGATTTTTTGCAGCGCGAAAGACTGATAGTTTTTGGCTAGTTTTTGGCTGGAAACAAAGTAGTATTTGTAAAAGCCTGATAAACCACCATCCCACTCGTAGGTTGGCAGAACCTCTTTGGAGAGGAATCCATATATTCTGTGAAAGCTCACATCTTACCTGCATATCTCTATCACTCTTCTGCTGCCCTGCTATCCCTTTTTGCTTTCACTCACCCAAACTGCTCTTTGACTAGCTCCTCAGCTTTTGTTTTACCCCTCGATTTCCTTAACATGGCTGCTGAAATCATTCTGAGCCCTGTTGCAAAGAAAATCTTTACCCAGGTAACCGACTTGGCCTGGGAGCAGGTTGGACTCCTGTGGAATTTCAAGCGTGAGCTTCATAAACTGAAGAGCACCGTCTCCGCCATCCAGGCCTTGCTCCGTGATGCAGAAAAGAAGCAGCATCACAACCATCAAGCTAAAGACTGGCTCCAGAAGCTCTCCAACATTATTTATGATGTTGATGATCTGCTCGACGATCTCTCTACCGAGGCTCGTAGGAAGGCCATGATAGCAGCAGAGGCGGCTGGTGATGATGGCAGGAGAAGGACAACCGCAACTACAACTTGTTGTAGTTTGGTAGGCTTTCTGTTCTATCCGCTTCAACAATTGTGGTACGATCTTATGATGGCTCGTGCTGTCAAGGCCATTCGGGAGAGGCTTGATGATGTGAAGAAAGACAAGGACAGCTTGGGTCTGCATCCTCCTACCGAGGATGAAGCTCGCCCTTCGAGGGAGACTGATTCCTGCCCACCCACGATTGTTGTTGGGAGGGAAGAAGACAAAAGGAATACCATTCAGCGACTAATGGATCCCCATCATAAATCCAACATCTCTTTTGTCCCCATTTTCGGAATGGGCGGAGTTGGAAAGACTACTCTCGCTCAACTCGTATTTGATGACCAACAAGTTAAAGATCACTTCTATTTCAGAGTTTGGGTGTATGTTTCTCAAAGCTTTGACATTAAAGTGATTCTTGGAAAGATGCTGCAATCCTTGACTTCTGAAAGTCAAGTAGATCTCCCGTTGGAAAATCTGCAAACTCGGCTACGAGAAAAGATTAGCGGCGAGAGGTTTTTGTTTGTGTTGGATGATGTTTGGGAAGAGAACGTGCAAAGTTGGGAAACCTTGGGGAAGTACTTGACAATTGGAGCTCCTGGCAGCAAGGTGTTGGTGACTACTCGATCCAAGATAGTGGCCAAGGCAACTGGTGGTAGAGCCCTGCAGCAGGAAACAAGTGGTGAAGCAATGCAAGACGGTCATTTGGGAGGCTTGTCAGTAGAGAAGTCATGGGATTTATTGGTGGAAATAGCTGGCGGAGTGATTGGGCAAACCCACGATGAAATCAATATTGGGAAAGCTATATTGGAAAAATGCCACGGGGTTCCTCTTGCTATAAGCACGATAGCTACTGTGTTGATCGATTCCCAAGATCCAGGAACTGAGTGGCCTTTGCTCTTACAAAAAGAGTTATATAGCATCTCTAATACAGGCGATTATTCCATTATGCCAGCCCTCCAATTGAGTTTTAATCAGCTCCCTTCTCATATGAAGGATTGCTTTCTTTATTGCAAGTTGTTTACGAGGGGCTGCAGATTGGACGTTCAAATGCTGGTGCAGTTCTGGGTAGCGCAAGGCTACTTCGAGTCAGAAGACGCGAGTTTGCAGTGTGTGAAAACGTTGTGGTGGAGATCATTCTTCCATGGGATGAAGATGGATGAGCTGGGGAAAATGTCAACTTGTACCGTGCATGATATGATGTATGATGTAGCTGTTTTAATGGCGGGACCTAAGATCCTGAGAAGTTCCAGTCCAACAATCCTAACGAGTGTTGCTTCCGAAACTCATCATTTGGCTGTGGCTCGACAAGACGATGATGGCAGCACGTTACGAGAAGCAGCCGCCTCAGTTGGCAATGACTATGGGTTGAGTGATGGAAACAAGGTCAGAACACTTTTGTCTGATGGATATTTCTCCAGAGAAGAATGTGCGCAAGTCCTCGACGGCTTCAAACGCGCGCGGGTATTAAGGTTGCCCATACGTGATTCTGATACAGCTGCCTATAATATGTTGGATCGCATTGGCGAGTTGAAGCATTTGAGACATCTCAGCATTCGTTTCAATTTAGCGATGAATCTTCCCAACTCCGTCACAGACTTGCTTAATCTGCAAGTGCTCGACTTGGCCGAATTCAACATAAGAGAATTACCAGAGGGTTTGAGAAAGCTAGTTAACTTGAAGCATCTTTTCCTCAATCCTTTTCGATCTCGATACTTGACTCACATGCCACAAGGGATTGGCGGGTTGCAGTCTCTTCAGACATTACCCGTTTTCGTGGTGGGCTGGAGGAGGAGCATGTATGGAAGCGAAGAGGCGAGGGTCGGTGTGGGGCTAGAAGAGCTGGAAGGGTTGAATGCATTGCGTGGAGAGTTGACAGTCATATACTTGGCGGATGCCAGGTTTCTAGGTGATGCTGTTTGTGTCTTGAAGAACAAGCCACTGCTTCGGTCCTTGGTTCTAGATTGGGGCGGGCCATTGGGAAGGACTCGTGGCTCTACTGAGGACGGTAAGATACTTGAAATTACACTTTCACCGCCGCCTTATCTGAAGAAGCTGGTGATACGTGGTGGTTATGGAGGCGCAAGGCTCCCCAACTGGCTGGCTCAGCTTGTGCATCTGGTGGAGATATCGCTGGAAAATTGCGACGAGTGTGAGTACCTTCCGCCGTTGTATCTGCTCCCATCATTGAAGAAGCTTGGGATCAAATCTTGCCGACTTCTGAAGGGGACGAGCGTTGGTGATGGTGATCACTG